CGTAAGAAGCATTTCAAGGTCCTGGAGTGGCCTAGCCAGTTATTGTTATTGACCAAATACTTATTTTCCACCATAATTTGCTAATAAATTCATTAAAAATCCTACAATGTGATTTTCTGGAATTTTTTTCCTCATTTTGTCTGTCATAGTTGACGTGTACCTATGATTAAGATTACAGGCCTCTCTCATCTTTTTAAGTGGGAGAACTTGCACAATTGGTGGCTGACTACAAAGGGAAGCACAGCCGCGAGCTGCCCAGTGACACAAGCCTACCAGACGAGCTAAACCACTTCTATGCTCGCTTCGAGGCAAGCAACACTGAAGCATGCATGAGAGCACCAGCTGTTCCGGACGACTATGTGATCACGCTCTCCGTAGCCGATGTGAGTAAGACTTTTAAGCAGGTCAACATTCACAAGGCCGCAGGGCCAGACGGATTACCAGGACGTGTACTCCGAGCATGTGCTGACCACCTGGCAAGTGTCTTCACTGACATTTTCAACATGTCCCTGACTGAGTCTGTAATACCAACATGTTTCAAGCAGACCACCATAGTCCCCGTGCCCAAGAACTCTAAGATAACCTGCCTAAATGACTACCGACCCGTAGCACTGACGTCTGTAGCCATGAAGTGCTTTGAAAGACTGGTCATGGCTCACATCAACAGCATAATCCCAGAAACCCTAGACCCACTCCAATTTGCATACCGCCCCAACAGATCCACAGATGATGCAATCTCTATCGCACTCCACACTGCCCTTTCCCACCTGGACAAGAGGAACACCTACGTGAGAATGCTATTCATTGACTACAGCTCAGCATTCAACACCATAGTGCCCTCTAAGCTCATCACTAAGCTAAGGATCCTGGGACTAAACACCTCCCTCTGCAACTGGATCCTGGACTTCCTGACGGGCCGCCCCCAGGTGGTAAGGGTAGGTAACAACACATCTGCCACACTGATCCTCAACACGGGGGCCCCTCAGGGGTGCGTGCTCAGTCCCCTCCTGTACTCTCTGTTCACCCATGACTGCATGGCCAGGCACGACTCCAACACCATCATTAAGTTTGCCGACGACACAACAGTGGTAGGCCTGATCACCGACAACGATGAGACAGCCTATAGGGAGGAGGTCAGAGATCTGGCCGTGTGGTGCCAGGACAACAACCTCTCCCTCAACGTGACCAAGACAAAGGAGATGATTGTGGACTACAGGAAAAAAAAGAGGACTGAGCACGCCCCCATTCTCATCGACGGGGCTGTAGTGGAACAGGTTGAGAGCTTCAAGTTCCTTGGTGTCCACATCACCAACGAACTATCATGGTCCAAACACACCAAGACAGTCGTGAAGAGGGCACGACAAAGCCTATTCCCCCTCAGGAGACTAAAAAGATTTGGCATGGGTCCTCAGATCCTCAAAAAATTCTACAGCTGCACCATCGAGAGCATCCTGACTGGTTGCATCACCGCCTGGTATGGCAACTGCTTGGCCTCTGACCGCAAGGCACTACAGAGGGTAGTGCGTACGGCCCAGTACATCACTGGGGCAAAGCTCCCTGCCATCCAGGACCTCTATACCAGGCGGTGTCAGAGGAAGGCCCTCAAAATTGTCAAAGACTCCAGCCACCCTAGTCATAGACTGTTCTCTCTGCTACCGCACGGCAAGCGGTACCGGAGTGCCAAGTCTAGGTCCAAAAGACTTCTCAACAGCTTCTACCCCCAAGCCATAAGACTCCTGAACAGCTAATCATGGCTACCCGGACTATTTGCACTGCCCCCCCACCCCATCCTTTTTACGCTGCTGCTACTCTGTTAAGTATTTATGCATAGTCACTTTAACTCTACCCACATGTACATATTACCTCAACTACCTCAACTAGCCGGTGCCCCCGCACATTGACTCTGCAACGGTACCCCCCTGTATATATAGCCTCCCTACTGTCACTTTATTTTACTGTATATATAGCCTCCCTACTGTCACTTTATTTTACTTCTGCTCTTTTTTTCTCAACACTTTTTTGTTGTTGTTGTTTTATTCTTACTTTTTTTGTTTAAAATAAATGCACTGTTGGTTAAGGGCTGTAAGTAAGCATTTCACTGCAATGTCTGCACCTGTTGTATTCGGCGCATGTGACCAATAAAATTTGATTTGATTTGATTTGATTTGACTAAATACTTTTTTTCCCCCACTGTATGTGTTTGTGAATATGTATTTCAGTTATGTATTTTAGTTATAAATAAATAAAGTAGTCTAAGTAGAATGACATTATAAAATTATATCGACACAGTAACAAGATGCCTATTTGAAAAGTCAGACATGGAATCATTAGCATCTTGCTTTGTCTTCCACACAGGAGAACCTGACTGCCCCAGAGCTGAATGATTATTTAAAGATATTCCGGTAAGATCCGGCATTTATGTGAAAAAAATTCTGATTCCTAATTTCCCTACTCTATATTTAGAATGGAACACACCAAATCACACACACACACACAAACATGCATAATCAGCACACACACACCCAGCATGTGAAGGATAATAACAGTAATAACAGTGTACTTCTGTTTCAGGCCCAAGAGGTTGACTCTGAAGGGATACAAGCAGTACTGGTTCAAGTTTAAGGATGCCTCCATCTCCTACTATAAGAGCAAAGAGGAGAGCCTGGGAGAACCCATTCAACAGATCAACCTCAAAGGTATGAAGCACACACTTAGGGAGAATCTCAATTGCATTTCCTTGATTTCTTGCATCCTCTCTCCTGGCCTCTTTCTCAAAACCCATTGGATGAGAAGGTCAGAGGAGAAGGAATCAAGGAAATGCAATTGAGATTCTCCCTTAGATCCATTGTATTTTGTCTCTTTCACCTGCTTATACACAGTACAATGACCGTATACCTTTTCAGGCTGTGAGGCCGCTCCAGATGTGAACGTCGCTGGACAAAAGTTCTGCATCAAACTTTTGATTCCAGCTCCAGAGGGCATGAACGAGGTCTACCTGCGCTGTGAAAATGTGGGTTACACACACACAAACGTACACTGCCAGATACATGAGTAGTACATTTCTTACAATATAAGATCCACAATAAATCCAAGATCTTGCCCATGACTGAAGTATACCTCTCTCTATCTCGCTCTCGCTCTCTCTCTCTCTCTCTCGCTCGCTCTCTCTCTCTCTCTAGGAGGAGCAGTATTCCAGGTGGATGGCAGCGTGTCGACTGGCCTCTAAAGGGAAGAGTCTGGCAGACAGCTCGTTCCAGAGCGAGGTCCAGAGCATCCGCTCCTTCCTGGCCATGCAGCAGACCAACCCCAACACACACAACACACACACCGACGACAGCATGAGCATCAACACACACAGTCTGGTGTCTCCACGCTACAGCAAGAAGTACAAGGTCAAACAGGTACCAAGTAGAGATGAACATCTTCATCATCATGTGTGGACCAATGATAAACCCTGATGAACTACATAATGATATACAGGTAACTGCATAGATTATACAAGTGTCTGGAACTCTATTGGAGGGATGTGACACCATTCTTCCACGAGAAATTCCATTAGTTTTTGTTGATGATGGTGTAAAACGCTGTCTCAGGCACTGCTCCAGAATCTCCCATAAGTGTTCAATTGGGTTGAGATCTGGAGACTGAGACAGCCATGGCATATGGCTTGGATCGTTTTGTGTATTAATTGGTGTTTACCTTGCCCGGAAAATGCAACCCACACCATGAGAGCTGCCAGAACCTTAATTTACTCAAGTGTTTCCTTTATTTTGGCAGTTACCATTATATCAAACACAGTACAACTCAGTTGAGTCACTTGAGAGACCATTATATCTCCCTCTAACCCCACATAATATAACCTTGACTCTCTCTCTCTCTTTGGCCATGCCCAGTTGACCCCTCGTATCCTGGAGGCATTTCAGAACGTGGCTCAACTCTCCCTGACCGACGCCCTCCTCCGCTTCCTCCAGATCTGGCAGGCCCTGCCAGACTTTGGCATCTCCTTCATGGTGGTGAGGTAAGGAGGATCTGGCAACCCAGTGTATTACACATTTCACAGTGAGGCTAGTCTCGGTACCTAGAACCAAATATTGCGTGCACTAGCTAGGCAGTTACCTCAATTTACATTTATGTTTAATCTATCACCAAAGATTAGTGGGAGGCTAAGGGCTTGTCTAAGGATAAGTTGTTGTGGTGAACTTGAGTCTAGTGGCTGGTCTAATGATAAGTTGTTGTGGTGAAGTTGAGTCTAGTGGCTGATCTAATGATAAGTTGTGGTGAAGTTGAGTCTAGTGGCTGGTCTAATGATAAGTTGTTGTGGTGAAGTTGAGTCTAGTGGCTGATCTCTGACCCGTTTAGGTTCAAGGGCAGCAGGAAGGACGAGGTGCTGGGCATCGCCCCCAACCGTCTGATCTGTATCGACCTGGGGGTGGGATACGTGGTCAAGACCTGGCGCTACAACAACATGAGGCAGTGGAACGTCAACTGGGACAAACGACAGGTGACCTGACCTGTCAATCAATCAATCAAAATGTTCACATAATCTACATAGCCAAATACACACTGAACACTGTATCCCTTTTTCCTGGTCATTTAGCGTTTGCTCATCTTTTCTATGTGTGTGTGTGTGCTACTAACCCTCAGGTGACCATAGAGTTTGATGAGAACGTGAACATAGCATTCAGTTGTGTGACGGCTGACTGTCAGATCGTCCATGAGTTCATTGGAGGCTACGTCTTCATGTCGACACGCAGCCTTGAGCAGAGCGACACGCTCAACGAAGAGCTCTTCCACAAGCTGACAGGGGGCCACAAGGCTCTGTGACACCCTCACTCCACCCAGTGCTGCTGCAGCAGCCTTGAAGATAAATGACAACCAGTCCACCCTGGGATGCTAAAATACATGGGAGTTGATTGTTCAATAATTCAAGGAAGAGGTGACCCATGAATATAGTGTTATGGAAAATTATTAACAATGTAATGAATTGTCAATTCTGAAATCCAGAATTAAATATGTTTATTGACATATATAAAAACAGTTGACAGGTGTTTTAATTTCCAGATGAGGCATTTGGCTTGATGGTTGTGTCCTTAAGAGTATGGTGGCAGAGTTTCCTGAAATGTGACTAACTGCACAGGAAGCCACAGGCAGGCAGTGTGTGTGTTCCTATCTCTGTGGAACAGTGGAGACTGTCTGTTGGCTAACCCACAACTTGTACCTGCTGGTTGCCATCTGATAGCATCCTCTTGTGTCTTTGTCATGTGACAGTGTTGTCAGGAATACCAGTCAGTCTCTGTGCCTGTACTGTGGCCTGTATGGTAATAGAGCTGTTGTTGAGTTGTTGTTGAAGGTGTTTTCAGTCTCACAGTCTTATTCACCCAGAGTCTTCAGGGTGCTGGTCTCAAACAGTATCGGTTACCATGGAAACAGTCTAGACAGAACTGGAAATCAACAGACGTCTGGTAACACATTCAGCCATGTCTTTTACCTCCAAAGCACAGATAAGCTCTTCACCTACTCCAGTTGCAGAATACTCTCTGAAACAGAAGATTTCTATAATTTGTCAATATTCACTTCCCTCTCTATCCATCATCCCTCCCATCTAACATCCTTCCCCTCATGAGTGTGTGTCATATGCGAGGTACTCACGTGTGGGTCTTAGTTTTAGGGCACGGCTGAAGTATCGGGGATGTAGTTTCCCCTCAGTATCCCCAGGTGTCAGCAATACACTGTTCTCCGACCAGAAGAACTGGATACCCTCTGCACAAGAAACAAAAACACATAAAGAAAAATATGCATTTAGACATGAGAGCACTACAATGGCAGCACTCTGCTACTGTAAATGACCTCGGTTGCTCTTACCAGACAATGCTTTGGGGACGTCAATGAATATGGCCAGGTCACAGTCTCTCCTCATGCCTGGAGCAAAAGGCACAAAAGGGAGCCCATCTATGAGAGGTTCTATGGGGAGTTTCCCAGACCCAGATTAAGCCAATTCCGGGACTAAAAGCACTTTAGGAAATCCTTCATTGAGCATGCTTTTAAACCCAGGAGTAGGCTATGATCAAGGAGTATTTGGGCCAAAATACTTTCACAGTGCTCTCTCCCCCATCTCTCTTACCGCTGATGACCCCGTCCTCCCCCGGTAGGCCCAGGGCCAGGTGTATGTGTGTTCTGTTCATGCGGCTGAGGCCCTGGGAGCGGATGGAGGGCCAGAGGCGGAGATAGGAGCCATGGATCCCCTCCCTGGGACAGTCAGGAGAACCAGGCTGCACAGCCTTCAGGTCCAGATCACACACCTGCCCAGACAGACACACAGCAGACCCTTACTACTGACACTAGACCTGGCACTGTTTTGTCATTGTTTATGACCACGTCATGCGCCACCTAGGGATGCGTCAGAACTGGCACCCTATTCTCTATAGTGCACTACTCTTGACCCTAAGTGGGCTGAGCTCTGGCCAAAAGTAGTGCACTATTTTGGAAATAGGGTGCCACATTTCCAGCACAGCCCTAGATTTTTTTCCTACCTGCACAGAATGTCCCTGATTGGCTCGGATCTGCAGCCGCCCGTCCTCAGGGTGTGGGCAGAGCTTGAATCGCTGCTTGTCATTGGTGGCCACAACTCTCTTCACGTCCTCCAATGAGAAGGAGTGGAACTGTGCATGAGCCAGTAGGTCCTCCACAAATAGGAAGCCATCTAGGGACAATGAGGGAGAACATTATTATTCAGACCTAAATGAGGAGTACAGATTGTAGATTGCATGTAATGTTTATTGTGCAGCAATATGAAATGCTGGTAAAGTGATATTATAAGCTAGACAAAATGCAGCTAAATAAACTGCATTTCTACCAGGATTCATGTGAAGTCCCATCTGATTGGCTCCATGGCGCAGGGCAAAGGAAAGAGACTTGGACAGGCTGACATCCTTGTCCTGAAAGGCAACACATGTACACTGGTGGTGACCCACACAAGAAAATACTACAGTATAGTTTAAATACTATATTATAAACTGGGTCGTTCGAGCCCTGAATGCTGATTGGCTGACAGCCATGGTATATCAGACCGTATAAAATGGGTATGACAAAACATTTATTTAATTACGTTGGTAACCAGTTTATAATAGCAATAAGGCACCTCGGGGGTTTGTGCTGTATCGCCAATATACCATGGCTAAGGGCTGTGCCTAAGAACAGCCCTTAGGCGTGGTATATTGGCCATATACCACACCTCCTCGGGCCTTATTGCTTAAGTATTCACTGTAGTGTTTTTACAGACTTTAGTCCAACAATACTGTAGTGTATACTGTAGTAATTACAGTTACCTATAGTATAAATACTGCAGTAAAAGAAAACGGTAGTATATACTATAGTAATGAATTTAGTGTTTTTACGGATTGTAGTATACTGTAGTATTTACTGTAGTGTTTTTGCGTACATTACTGTAGTACAATAATGTACGCATTCGGTCTTCAACGAGGTTGGTTATACTTCCTTACCGTCAAAAAAGTTTTTGAAATGTTCGATGTCTTAACTGTCTAGTGATTATTAGCGAGCTGGACTGTCAAGAAACTGTATGAGCTGTATGAATGTAGGTCCATTGACTGCGCACAGTGGTTATTAGCGAGCTGGACAGTCAAGAAACTGTATCAATATAGGTCCATTATCATGTCTACACAGTTTCGGCCCGTTTGTTTGACACCCCTGCTATAGTAGGCATATTTCCTGCTAATGCTGGTACTGTTGTTGTTTTATTATCTTTGACATAGCAGTGGAAGTTTTCTCCTTCAGGGAACCTACTGGAGAAATACTAAAATAGCTCATTTTCCATAACCTGTAGGTAGGACAGGGGTCTGACTCAGAGCTTCTGCTCTTTCTATAACCTGTAGGGGAAACAATATCTCCAGATGCTTTCCAGTAACCCTGCTACTAGCTAGAATAGAACAGAATAACCATACGTCTAGTCCGAACTAGGAAACTCGGGAGTTTCTGATTAGCTTATTCGTTGAACGCGGCACGTGATTAACTACAACTAGTTAGCGAGTCATAATTTCCGAGTTTTCTAGTTCCGACTAGCATGTAAAGCGGCACTGGAGAAGGGACAAGGAAAGATAGAAATAGGGCACAGCTCAAAAGGGACTAATATCAGTCTCTTCTCTTACCTCTACACGATTACCTCGCCTCCCCCTTCCTCCTCTTCCACGTCCTCTTCCTCCACGGTCCATTTACAGTTATTTCTGTCGGTTCAATGTGGAATGGATCTCTCTCAACTCTCATTACAGTAGGCTACACAGCAAGGCAAGCTACCACAATGATTCAAATGGTATGGTGCCCAACATGCCTACTAAACATGCCTATTGCCATGCGTACTAAAGATAAGTTCGCACATTCAAAGCGCAAATGTTGAACGTAAGCACAAGCAACCACTGTGGTTGTAAAACTCACTGGCAAAATATACATTGACATATATGGTAAAAACAGCACGAAATGTAAACAAGCAGGCACATTCCACTTCCACTTTGTTCAGACACCAACCAGTAGGTGGCAGTAAGTGACTTTAGCTCTTTGTTTTGTGTCAAAGGAAAGAGGGTACGTCTTTAGCAGGTAAGAATATATTGTAGCAGCTGGCCAATGATTGAGTTAAATATAACAATTATGTTTCTAACTATATTTTGGTACAAGTCCCGATAGCCTTTATCAAGTGATATGAAACATGTTTATTTAGAGTACGGGCATAATTCAGTGTCAGCAAGTTAAAGTTAGCTAGCTAACATTGGGCCAGCTAGCATCAAAACAGCTGTAAACCTCGCATAACTGGTAAATATTAAAATACATGAATCACTCATGTTTATCGTGCACTTACTCGCTACTAAGAACTTGTAATGTTTTCAAGTGATGAACAACAGTGCTTGGTGTGTAGCTATCGAAAATGACTGATAGTTCTGTCTTGCCTGCAGCGCTTGTCGGGAAGAGAAGCATTGAGAGTTTTCTTGCCTTCATGCATACATGGAGGGAAACCAGAGCCTGAGGATTAAGCCTAAAGTCGTAGGCGATAGCCTCTTAGAATCCTAGAGTTTAATACTTATACACTCGTCTCTAACATGTAGGCTCAGCGTTCTTGAACAGTCCCATTACAAGTCAGAAGCGTTACTAGCCCGCTGGTCTGTAAATGGTTGGTATTTCCGGTTTTTATTTTCGATACTGATTATGGACGCGCCTAACCGAACCACACAGCTGATTGCAAGGAAACATGCTTCGGGCGACAATGTTCGGTTACATTCTGCTATTGTTGACATATTGTGCATCACCTGCAATGCATTAAGAGATTTAAAATACAATTGACAGACCCTACCGGCGCTGCAAGAAATCGGGAAAACAACCCTTTCCTGTGGATACCCTACCTCCACCTCCTACCGCCAAAAGGACCAACAGCATGAACAACCGGTAAAGTAAGTGTAAATATAATTGCATTGGCTTGTAGAGACTATTGCATATTTTTTAGGGCGACTTCAGTCAGACTGATAATCCATGGAGTAACCATGGTAACAGTCTGATGTTTAGAAAAGGGAGGCGAGTCCAACCAGACTTCTCTGAAGCAGACTGATTGCCAGTGTGAGGGAGCACATTTCAACACTCCAGTAGGTACTTAACTGGTTCTTTGTTTCTTACATGTTCAGGCTCTGTCGCAGCCGGCCGCGACCGGGAGACTCATGGGCGGCGCACAATTGGCCCAGCGTCGTCCAGGGTAGGGGAGGGAATGGCCGGCAGGGATGTAGCTCAGTTGATAGAGCATGGCGTTTGCAACGCCAGGGTTGTGGGTTCGATTCCCACGGGGGGCCAGTATAAAAAAAATATATATGTATTCACTAACTGTAAGTCGCTCTGGATAAGAGCGTCTGCTAAATGACTAAAATGTAAATGTAATGCTATCCATCAGATCCCCTTGTAACTCATTCTCTCTCTCTCTGCCTTCTCTCTTTCTCTATGTCCCCCTCTCCCTCCAGTAATGGAGTTCCCCCAGCACTCCCTGCAGCTCCTGTCAGGTCTGCGTTCTCAGCGTCAGCGTGGGTTCCTGTGCGACTGCACCGTCCTCGTGGGTTCCTCCCATTTCCTGGCCCATCGGGCTGTCCTGGCCTCATGCTCTCCATTCTTCCACATGTTCTACTCCGATCCCCCAGGGGCCGCTGGTGCCGGCAGGGCCAGCTCGGTCACGCTGGACGGGGATATCGTGACAGCAGCGGCATTCGGCCTGTTGTTAGACTTCATGTACGAAGGCGTGCTGCGGCTGGAGGCCCCTCCCCCAGCAGAGGACGTGCTGGCGGCAGCGAGCTTCCTCCACATGAACGAGGTGGTCCGGGTGTGTAAGAGACGGCTACAGCACCGACCGCCACCGGCTGAGGCAGACAGCACGCGCCCGGAGGAGAGCGGAGTGGCAGCTGTGGGTGGTAGTGGACCCGGAGTCGGCATGGCAACAGGAGCTGCCAAAGCGGTGGCCATGGCAATGTCAGTGTCTCAGTCTCCGTCAATGCAGAGAAACCAGTTGGGCTGTTCTACAAGGTCAGACAGGAGGGTGGAGGTTCAGGCGCACGCCCCTCTGAGTCCAGACATGGCCGACACCACCCAGCCGGGCATGGACCACACTCTCACTCATGTGGGTGAGCTGGTTACCCTCTCCTCCGGTCCCACTCTCAGGCTGGGGGGTCAGGGAGAGGGTCAGGGGGGCTCAGCCCTCTGTAGCCCCTGCAGCTCCACAGAGTCATACAGTTACAGCAGCCACCATCGCCAGCCCTCTTTATCAGCAGCATCATCATCATCAGTGGTACCTGTGACCCAGACTGATGGCTCCAGCTCCATGGTGAGGATACTGACCCAGTCCGACCACAGCAGCTCCTCCAGCCCAGAACAGGACAGCCATGACCCTGTCTCTGACAACAAGAGCACAGTCATCACACCAGGCATACAATGCCAGCAGCATGGTCTCAGTATCAACACACACCCTCAGATTAGAATACAGCATCCACAGTCACTCCACCTCACCTCACCTCCCAACCTGAACCTTGTAACCCATCAAGACCAAACCTCGGCCCTGTCCAGGCCTGAAGGGCTGCAGCAGGGTGGGTCAGAGAGGGAGAGGGGGGAGGCTAGTGAATACTCTAACATGGGGACTGTGGGAGTGGAGGAGCCCCTGGCAGGGAGAGGAGAAGTGGTGGAGGTGGAGCAGGAGGATGTGGTAAAGATAAAGGTGGAGGCCATAGTGATCTCAGACGAGGAGTTTGAGGAGATGGAAGGAGTGCTGATGAGGAGAGGAATAGAGGGGAGAGAACGAGGGATGATGGAGGTAGAGGACAGGAATGACTTTGATGATAATAACCACGGAGACGAACTGAACAACCCCCACTTACTCCCTTTTCACCCCCACCACGCCTTACTCCAGATGACCCACTCCCACCCCTCTGAGCCTCTCTCCTTCCCCCTCTCCCCCTCCGGACCCGGCACCACCTCCTCTGACGTTCCCCCTTTCCCATCCTCCCTCTTTCCCTCTGTGGGCCAACATTCTGACCAGCCCGTCTACTTCCAGGATTCCATGGGGAACTATGTTGAGGATGTCCCAACGTGCAGCGTCTGCGGGAAGACATTCTCGTGCGCGTACACCCTGAGGCGACACGCCATCGTGCATACGCGCGAGCGCCCCTATGAGTGCCGCTACTGTTACCGTAGCTACACGCAGTCAGGTGACCTGTACCGCCACATTAGGAAGGCTCATGACTCCAGCCTGCCGGCCAAACGCAGTAAAGGAGACACTGAGGAGGGCCAGCCTCCACACAGCTAACACACACAGCTAGCTGTATACTTCTCCATACTACAGAGAATGACACATTATTTATGCCTTCCCCCTTCCAACACCAGACATCCTGGTCTTGCATGTCCGTGGCAATGATCTGGGATACTTTCAAAATGACCTTCCAAATGATCTGGGATACGTCAGAGGCCCAGACCTAGTGTGCAGGTTGAGTGAGGATTTAGACGTTTCCCTCCACCAGGATCATCTTTTCAGACATAGTGGTGCGACAGGTGGAGCGTGCCAGACATGCCCATGCCCGGGATTGAGCAGACCTGGCACTCGGTCAACTAGCTGGGTCTGCATTCCTGAGGGACAGGGGCCAGTGGTGTTTTAGCTATTTTAAATGGGCCTTTCATGACTTTTGTCTTTTACATATTTATCTGTACCAGTTGTCTTACTATGACCTCAGTGCCAAAATAATTTGTGTACCTTACTACAGGTAACTGCCAAAATAAATGAAACACTTGAGTAAATAAGGGATACAAAGTATATTGAAAGCAGGTGCTTCCACACAGGTGTGGTTCCTGAGTTACTTAAGCAATAACATCCCATCATGCTTAGGGACATGTATAAAAATGCTGGGCAGGCCATTATTTTGCCTACCATGGCTATGCCCCCATAGGATGACAATGCCCCCATCCACAGGGCACAAGTGGTCACTGAATGGTTTGATGAGCATGAAAACGATGTAAACCATATGCCTTGGCCATCTCAGTCACCAGATCTTAATCCAATTGAACACTTATGGGAGATTCTGGAGCGGCGCCCGAGTCAGCATTTTCCACCACCATCAACAAAGTACCAAATTATGGAATTTATTGTGGAAGAATGGTGTCGCATCCCTCCAATATAGTTCCAGACACTTGTAGAATCTACACCAAGGTGCATTGAAGCTGTTCTGGCTCGTGGTGGCCCAACACCCTATTAAGACACTATGTTGGTGTTTCCTTTATTTTGGCAGTTACCTGTATGTTAGGACATATTCCAGATTAAAAATCGGCAGTTGTCAAGGGTACAGTTTTTGTCAACGTTAATAGCGTAAAATTATCTGTACTATATAGAAGTCTCCATTGTTGCCAACTTTTACGATTGGCTGAATATCACTACTACTTCATTGCTGTGAATAGAACATGGACAGTTCTTTAGTCCACATATCTAGATATTTCCTTCCATTGGAGTACTGTTTAGTAAATGACTTCCAACACGATCTGTATCACAATGGCCTATAATATGAGTATAATTGTTGACAGAAATATACAACAAAAAGAACATGGTACAATAGTTACAGAAGTCACAAGAAGAAGCAAGCACAATTCACCCCTATGGATCTGTAAAAGATAGACACAATGTCCACTACAACACTAGGGACTGTTCTACCCATTGTCTGTCCATAATTCCTATTTTCACAAGCTAAGCAATGGCAGTCTTCGGGCTCCAGCAGTAAAATTAGGGTAGGGAAGGGATTGATCTTTGCTTTGGCCTCTTCTGTGTCAGTCATCCACTGGCCCGTGTATCTGTCAAAGATGAATCATGTGTTGTTATTACTTATGGGCCACGTATGGTAATGCATGCTAATGGTGCTCTTCTCTTAAAACAAATTCTTGTTTTGCACACTCACCGCTTCTGCCAGATCCGGCCAGGCCATTGCCATGATGATACCGTCATCAGAGTTGGGCGGAGTCTCGAGGTTCCAGTAGGTGACGTTATGGAACACTGAAGACACCTTCACTGTCCTGTCCTGGACACACACATTACCTCACATATAACATTACTGTAAGTGTGTGAAGAGTTTAAATATGCAGTATGGTGTTATACAGTATGTGTGTCCCTGCTGCAGACAATGGAAAAGGAAGTGTATCATATTTCCTGGTTGGTGTGTGGATTTTGGTCAGTGATTACAGATAGATTTGAGCAGATTCTGACAGCATTCCTTTTGAGTTGTTGACCTGCTATGGTACATTATGTTGATGTTGGTCAGACAGTGATGATTTTGGCAGCATTTATTGTTTACCTCCTGGTCAGAGCCTGGTTTGTTGACCTCTCTTAGCACCAGGCCTGTGTAGCCCTGCGGACAGCTGACCTCCTGACCTTTTAACCCACGACCCCTGAACGACACAGTTTTCTCTGTGGGAAATGTGGAAGAGACACAATTTGTATTAAAGTAATCTGTATTGAAAGTAAGCTACACACAACACTAGGTACTCTTTGTGACATCAGATGTTGGTCTTCCACGACGGTTTATGTACAGAATGCATGCATGCAGCTACTGCTGTCTCAACATACCGTGTTTTCGGTCTTTGATGGTGGCTGTAAAGAACTGGGACACCTCTGCTGGCCCGTCGTGCTCTATCTCACAGGGTAGCAGGTGAACAGGGTGGCGTTCTGCCTGGCTCACCGAGTCCAGCTGTAACGTGGTCACACTGCAATTGGATGACATCCTGAAAGCTAGGGGCAAAATGTCAGAAAAAAGGATATGCCCATATTCACTATTATAGATGGCAATACATTCCCTTTATGGGCCCATCACACGTTGTTCCTGTGTTTATATTTCGCGGCTGTTACTTCCCACTTCCTCTCTTGCAACGTCATTTGAGTAGTCGGGATTTAGCGCAAAGACACACCTTGCTTAGAACAGAAGGCAAGTTAGCTGGCTATGTCACTGATCTTCCTTTCTAGTATACCCCTCTGCGGATTTCAGTTTTAAGGAAAATGTATGCACTGCAGTGAATTTTCAAAAAGGACTATCATTGGCAAACCTATGATAACCGTATAATTGTGCAGACGCTAGCTAGCTTGTTGACTAGCTAGCTTGTTGGACTGATTCCCTTGCTCAGCCTGCAAGATAGATTTTCTGGGGCACTTTCACAAACAAAAATATACGAAACATTTGGTTAAGAATATTGATACAGTGTGTAGACTGAAAAACACAGTTACACTATATAGAAAATACTGTCATAAACAGATATTTCATTAGCTACCTTTCAATGGTCCAGATTTCTAATGTTTTCCTCCAACTTCCATGTGCAAGTGAACTTCGACGTGATTGGATAAGAGCGTCTTCTTCACTGCAAAAATATATATTTTTGGCGCGTGCAGTCTCAACTCATTTGGGGTATGCTGCCCCCTACTGTACTGGAGTAGTAATGATATGTCTCGTCAATCTAAAAACAGCATTTTCAAAATTATCTTTTTAATAACATTCATATAATTTATTTTCAATGCATCTTGACATTAGATAAGGAATTTTCATTTTATGTGTTGTGGATGTCATTTTCAAGTGTATAGGATTTAAAAGTCTGGCATTAGTATTGCAGTCACTCATATCTTGCTGAGGTTTTAGGTGAACTGGAACACGCAGCTCGTCAGTCATAGAAGTGATCAAAATGTTCTGAGTCTGTGTCCTGATTGGCTCCTTTCTTTTTGTCGAGTGCTTTTACTTCAGATAAACTGTCCAAGTCTTAAACTATGGCTATAAAGACACATAGCACAGGTTAGGTTATAAGTAGTGCATATTACTGACTAGTAGCTAACCTTTTTAAGTTGTATCTATGGATTGCAGTGTGCAGAGATCTTACCTTTGGGTTTGACAAAGACCACTGTCTTCTCCTTCTCTTCTTTCTCACTTAAAACAAACAAAGATACTTTTATTTTTTTTAAGGTGGCCAGAGCAGGAATTTGTCAAAGAAATAACAACACTTACTGTTTTTCCTGAGACTTTGCTTGTGGAGCAAGAAGACTTTCAATATCATAATCCTCATCTATAAAGAGATCTACAGACTATGAATATCCCTTCACTTTGTCAACTTCATCATTATCACCGATCACTTCTTCCTCCTCCTCTTCCGCTACATCTGCCAGGCCTTTGGATGACCTGAGAATCACAACAATTGAGTCATCATCATCATCCCTATGATCAACATCATTATCATCATCTTCATCCTCATTATCATCATCCCTATGATCATCATCATTATCATCCCTATCCATATTATCATCATCATCCCTATGATCATTATCATCATCATCGTCATCATCATCATCATCCCTATGATCATTATCATCATCCCTATGATCATCATCATCATCCCTATGATCATCATCATAATTATCATCATCATCATCCCTATGATCATCATCATTATGATCATCATCATCGTTCTTATCACCATCGTCATTATCATCATCATTATCATCATCATCATTATGATCATCATTGTTCTTATCACCATCGTCATTATCATCATCATTATGATCATCATCATCATTGTTCTTATCACCATCGTCATTATCATCATAAGTGTGTTTAACCTGTGTTCTGGTGGTGAGATGATGCTGTTGTCAGTCTCTCTCCTCTTCATCCTCAGTCTGCCCTGCTGCTGAGTCTTCCTCTGCATCCTGACTACGCTGCTCCTCTTCCTCACCCCCTGACCCCTCCTCATCCTCATCTCTTTCACCCCCACATCCTCCTCTTCTTCTCTGCTACCCTTAACTACCTCTTCTATCTCTCCGTCCTGAGAAGTGTGTGATTCCTCTCTTTTGTTCTCACTCTCATCCTCTATGCCTCTATCACTCCACCTCCTCGCACTCTACCTGCCCTTCTGAGTCCTGCACCTCCTCTGCTGTGTGCTCCCTTATAGAAACGCTTTCACTCACTGGTTGGGATTCCTCTTCCTCCTCTCCTTCCTCTCCGGCTTGTCTCATTTCCTTTAACCCCATATTCTCCTTGTTCTATTTCACTATCATGTTCTCCCACTCCCCTTTTCTTCCTCTGTTTCTCTCCCCTCCTCTCTGTCATGTCCAATTTCTCCCCCTCCTCTCCTGTTGCTCCCTCCTCCACACTGAGTCCGACCACTCTCCTCTTCTCCTTCTGTGTCCTCCATGTCATTCTCTCTTACTTCTTTCTCTATGACTCCCTGACTCAATTTGACTTCTTGACTCCTCCATTTGACTCACTGCCTCTGCCCTATGACTCCCTGATTCCTGAATTTGACTTGATTCCTCCATTTGACTCACCGACCCCTCCTACTCCTCTTGCTCCCTGCCTCCGATGTCCCATCATTCTCTGAGCTTTGTACCACAGAGGCAGAAGATACTGAAGCCTCAGCAATAACCACCTCCCTGGATCCTGCAGAGGACCTGTCTGTTGAGCTCTGTCCTCCTCTTCCTCCCTTCTTCTCCTTCCTGTTCCTCCTCTCCCTGCTGCCGACGCTCTCTTTACTGGCCTGACTGGAGGTTCTGCTGCTCTCACTATGTCCACTCCACAGACGGACTGCGCACACACACACACGCACGCACGCACGCACGCACACACACACACACACACACACACACACACACACACACACACACACACACAGATTTCAGTTATGATTAGTTCAACAATTACAGTTAGCAGTCAGCTAGGGCCAGTGTGGCCAATGTTGACAGTTAGCTTGGGTTTAGTTGCTGGTTCATTGTTAGTTAGTGTACAGTTAGGCAAGTTTAGATTATATGAAGCAATGGTTTTTACCTGGTTTGATGTCCAGCTCATGTGACAGATCGCTGCTCTTATCTCTCCACGAGGTCACTCTGCAGCTTCATCCTCCTGCGCTCACTGGGGGAGGAGGACACGACAGAACAGAGCTACTGAACATGCTCCGATTTCTTTTTTTCCAGTGCTTCCTAACATGGATTATTCCATAATAAAGGCGACACTGACCCCTAGTGGTGGACATATTGTCCTTTTTCTGGTAGCCTGCCCTAATGTACAATCAACAAAAATGGATTTGTCATAATCAAAATAACAATGTTGAAAAAGCAAATTGACCAACAACAAAAAAATACTTTAATGTCATACTAGTAGTCACATCAAGTCACAGCATCTAAAATTAAAGGATACATGAGAGGTTCTCTCTGGTTTTATATGAAATGATGATTGACAGTTCTCGCTCTCACCTCTGTCGCAGACTTTCTGGTCCCTGTTTTGTATAACCACCTCGGTTATCCTCGGCACCGTCCATATACCAGGTATGAGGCAGAGGTTGATCCGTGCTCGGGGCCAGGAGGAGAACGGTTGGGCCACATGGGGAATAGAGAATGGTGGGACGGGGGACAGTGAGAGGCAGCCACTGGAGGGGGACGGAGACAGGGATGGGGGGCCAGAGGGGAACACAGGGGTTACAGCCCAAAGAGGAGGAAGAGGAGGAGCTGGTGGAAGAAGAGGTGGTCCCCTTCAGTCCCTTCATAGTGCCAGGTGAGTGTTACCTTACACACACATTTACAAACAAGTAACCTGTTGCTATATTCTGACGATAGAGTCTGGTTCCTCTCAACAAGTAACCTGTTGCTATATTCTGACGATAGAGTCTGGTTCCTCTCAACAAGTAACCTGTTGCTATATTCTGACGACAGAGTCTGGTTCCTCTCAACAAGTAACCTGTTGCTATATTCTGACGATAAGAGTCTGCTTCCTCTCAAGGTTCCTTGCTGCTGCTTCTTTTTTAGGTTGAGGTCAGGTTACTGTAAAGCTCTTTGGGACGACTGTTGCACTTTGTGATTGATTGATGATTGGAAAACCAAGGCGCTGCTCCCTCCGTCCTCAGGAGGGCACTGTGAGCGTGTGCGCTGGCTGGTGTCATTGCCTCTATGCCTGCTGCTCTGCTGTACCATACCCAACTGTGTCCTGCCTCGCTGGAGCCGCTGGTACCTCCTGACCTTCACACTGGATCGCACTCTTCTCCTACCTCACGGTATGGACTACAGCAGGACTGCCCAACCCTGTTCCTGGAGAGCTACCCTCCTGTAGGACAATGGTGTATGTGTTGTAGGTATGGGGGACATGGCTGTCTCCAACTCCATTGGCAGTAATATCTTCGATGTGCTTCTGGGACTTGGGTTCCCTTGGTTCCTGCGCACTCTGGTGGTCGACTACAGATCAGTGGTAGGGACATATTTTTTGGTGTTGATTTGTTTCTGTGTGGTTCTGGTTGACAAATGTTCATCAACCAAAAAGCTGCTAGATGTTGTGCCTTTCAGGTTGCCTGATGCAGAGATTTTGAGTGTTTTTATGGATGGCAGGTGTTCATCAACAGTAAAGGCCTGGTGTATTCAGTCATTCTGCTGTTGGGTTCAGTGTTTCTCACTGTGAGTATCACTGTAATATTTCTTAAAGTCTATATTTTTTGGACAAAATCAGACAGTATACAGTACTTTCTCCTCTATCACTCTCTCTCTGCAGGTCCTAAGTGTTCATCTGAACCGTTGGTGGTTGGACCGCAGACTGGGTCTCTGTCTCATGATGCTCTATGCCATCTTCCTACTCTGCTCAGTCGGCTTACAGCGACCGTAGGCCAGGTTCACACACATTTTAGTATGATTACGATGATACTATTTGACGTGATGTTTTCACTTGTTTACCTTATTGATCAGTTGTATGTGTACGGGTATTTAGGGTTCATTTGCATTTCTGAGACATAGTTATGAATATTGTTATATTGATGGGAAACCTCACATTTGATCTTTGATAAATGTTGCAAACGGGATCTTTTACATAGTTTTATACAGAGCAACTAGAAAAGTGTGATATTCCAAGATGACTATTTGAGAACATGCACTTCACACAATGGATTTATAATGTATTGAATCTATCTACAGTTTACAGTTACGTAATGTCAATGAGGAATCATATTCTTTAGTGTTAAAGGCCCAGTGCAGTCAAAAACGTGATTTTCCTGTTTTATATACATTTCCACACTATGAGGTTGGAATAACACTGAAATTGTGAAAACAATTATAATGCCCTTTTAGTGTAAGAGCGGTTTGAAAAGACCACCTGAAATTTCAGCCTGTTTCAGTGGGATGGAGTTTTGGCCTTCTATGGTGACATCATTTGTTAATAGACCAATAAGAGTTCCAAATCTTTTTTTGACCATTTTAATTTAAAACAACCACAGTTAGGTACTTAACTGTTACCCATAAATCATTTGATATTGAGATTTTAAAAAAAAAACAGCTGCATTAGACCTTTAAGACCCACTATTGTATTGCTTTTAGGAGTGCCACAGCAGTAGCCATACTCAGATTATCATACATCATCTGCATCATATGCTTGTAGTATCACTCTTCATGTATGTAGTTGCATGTGTTCAGCACGTTCTATTCATTTACGGTTGGACTGATGAGTGCACTATCATAGCACTGTTTTCATTGCTGTAAATACTTTGGAGCATACAGTTTTGTTTAGAGAATGAGTGTTGAGTGCAATCAATACCACAGTCTGTGCAATAATCCCTTTTGCAGCATCCCTCCTTCTATAGTTTACATAATTTAGCCAAAATGCACCCCTCCCTGAGTTTCTTGTAAGTTTTGGAGGTGCCTATTGCTGAAGTATGAACAGAAGCTTGGGGATTTCCTATAATATGTCCTTGTCACTTCCCTAAGACACTTTTTCCAAGACATTTTTGTTAGCAGATACATTTACATTTTAATAGGGCAAAAGCAGTTTCAATACCAAAAAATGTAAATAAAAATACATTATTTACCATAACAAATACTCATTACGGAGGTCATTAACATATCACAAAAGAAAATCAATCTAAATGTCACTTAAAACAAATAGAAAAGGTCATACAGTACTGACATTGTGTAATATGTATTATTATTTTTTTTTTCATTGATGTTAGTATATACCGGTACTTTACAAAATTCTACTAGAAAAAAATCCCCAACCCCATGGAATATCAAGTGATATATAAAATGTAAAAAAAATAATGAAACAAACTAAAGAATTGTGTGAATGTGTGCATTCGTACTCATGTACAGGTGCAAGTTTGCATGCAATGTGCCCCGCTCATTGTGGCACAGACATGAACAGCTACATAAACCATAAAGATGATAGCTGACAAATGTTCAATAATGTTAGGTTTAAAAATCAGACCAGCAGTAAAATGTGATTCAGTCACGATAGAATGACTATGGTTGCGTCCCAAAGGGCACTCTATTGGACCCTGGTCAAAAGAAGTGCACAATATAGCGAATAGGGTGCCATTTGGGACACAGCATATGGACCTTGGCACCAGAGGTTCCTTTGTTTTTTTGTTGTTGCAGGAAAACCTTTGAGATAAAAATGTTTTTAAAACATCCAAAAGAAGTACACAGACAAAACTTCACTACAAAAGTCCACTATTAATATCCCTCAACAACGTGATCATATTTTGAAATCCATAAATCAATACACCTGGTTATTTGTTTAACAAGTAAAAATAGATAATTTGGCAACAAATTAAGCACACTGCCTGTCTTAGCAGTCCACACTATATAAAGGAGAGGGGGAGTTGAGTTGGGGAATAGTTAGCATGAGATGCTAATCCTTTCTTTCTAACATGGTCTCTGCAGAGTGTGTAACAGTCCGGGTGAGTTAACAGCCGTGATAGGAGGAGAGACAGGGAGGGGCAGGGCTTGCCGACAGGGTGGTGGTGAGAGGACTCCCTCCTTTCCAGTCCCCAACCAGACCCAGACCCTACCTCCTGGTCATTGAAGGGGTGTGGACCAGGGTGTGAGGGGCTTACTGTCGTTGTGTGGGGTGGTAAGGTGGGGTCCCCTGGCTGAGGGCAGGGTGGGCTACTCTGGGGTGGCCCCAAAGATACTATTAACTAACCGCTATTCATCCTCTGTGGTGAGGCTCTGCTGCTTGTATATGGATGCCTTGTCCTTCAGCAGCGCCAGGCAAAGGTGACAACTCCAACTACCTGTAGAGAGAGAGAGAGAGAGAGAGAGAGATTAATACATGGAAACTCACCAGTTCAACATCAACATAGTAAATGTGGGCTTCATTGAAGTCAAAGAGGAGTTGTGGTTAGACTGTGACATACCTTCTGGGGGCTCAGTCATAGGAGGGTCGAGGCAGTACATGTGGTATCCTCGATCACAGTCATCACAGAACAGCAGCTGGTCCTGACAGACAGAGAAACAGAAGCAGTGTGTGTGAGGAGACACAGAAAATGAGAAGTGTGAGAAGGCAGGGGTGGAGCAGCACTTACGTCGTTCTCTGAGGTTCCACAGACATTGCAGCACTTGCACTCGATACACTGCCAGCGATACGTCTTCACTGCTGCCATCATCACATCTGTGAACTGCAGGCAGGATGGGTGACCTGAAGGGAGACAGACACAGGTCTGTTCTTAAATGACTTACCAACCTGGCTAAATATAGGTTTAAATAGACAGAACACTGAAACAGAGCCAGATGACTACATTACATTCATGAATTTTGACGATGCCAACTCCTGGCTGTGGCAGAAATAAATAATGGATTATTGTGGAATCTGTCACTATGATCCTTCAGACACAACTCAAGTTAAGGGTAATTCGACACAAACATAGATTTTGCCTGAACTATTCCTTTAATGGAAATGTAGGACATGGGTGGGAGGTTCGTACCAGAGCGTCCGCAGTCTGAGCAGGACACCAGCTCCTCTGACTGGCCGGTCTTCTGGTTGTGGGCGGAGTCTCCCAGACAGAAGTCGCAGTAGTCGTTGGGCAGGGCAAGACCGTTAGGGCCTTTCTTAGGAGCTGAGATAAGAGAGGAGACAGAGAACAATGAGAATGAAAGACAATACACTCAACCTGCCCTAGAACATTGACATCCCTCTGAAACTAGAGTAGAGTGACTCTTTAACTTTGTAATAGTTTGACTCGCTCTCGAGGTGCGCTTCATTTAGCTTTGGGTATTCACTTTTGGGACTATTCCGTTGTAGTAAATGAAGCGCACCTCAACTATTAAGACATGCATTTGACCCAGGTCTGGTAACATGAGATAAGCAAGAGTGATTCTAGATCTATAATAGAAATGACCAGCTCTATAGTAGACCGTGATTCCAGTGGCTATCATTACAGACAGTGACTCACTCTTGTGCGCCTCAGGCTGGCGCCGGGGGGGAGGGGACTCTATCTCCTCTCTGTCCTCCCCCTCTTCCTCCGCCAGATGGGAGTGTGTGTAGTGGTAGCTCAGGCCCGGACGGTTCTTATAGCGCTTCCCACAGACTGCAAACACACACAGCATCATGGTGTAAGTCATCACACACATCAACAACTGGATTTGCATTACGCATACATACACCAGAATTTACATCAAAATAAATCTATACTCACTGTCACAGGCGTAAGGTTTGTCCTGCTCCTCCAGGGCTGCAGCGGCTGCCTCCATTTTCTTCTTTCCATTGGCCACTCCACGACCCTTGGACTTGCCCTTCCCTCGTCTCTTTGGGGTCTCGTCCTCAAAGTCCTCATCGTCCAGATCATCCAGGTAGTCATCGTGGTCCAGCACCCTCTGAAAGTAGAGTTCAAGATGAGACAGGTGCACTGACAGACCATTGGGAGCAAGTCAAACCTTTTTGTAAAGGGTATTAGGAGTCTGGAGCCTTGTTTGTAAAATGTGCATTGATCTCTGAGGTCAGAGGTCCCATCTAACCTTGCGGATGCGTCCAGAGGAGGTGTGGCTGGAGACCATGGCGGCCACGGGTTCAGGTGTGGCTGGGTTGTCCTCCGGAGCCCGGGGGTCCGGCGGGCCCCTCCTCTCCAGGGGCTCCCCCTTCAGCAGGGCCTCCAGGCTGCTGCCGTCCACCGCTCCCACGGCATCCCGTTTAAGACCCAGCTCCAGCTCCGCTACACAGAGAGACAGAGGCTTATTCAATCTTATTCAATACATTTTACATTTTAGTCATTTAGCAGACGCTCTTATCCAGAGCGACTTACAATTAGTGAGTGCATACATTTTTCATAATGGCCCCCCGTGGGAATCGAACCCACAACCCTGGCGTCGCAAGCGCAATGCTCTACCAACTGAGCTACACAGGGCCTGAGGCAGAAGACTAACAGGCCACACTATTCCCTCTGACATATAAAGAAACAATGAAAAGCCATAGGATGAGGAATTGTACCTGATTTGATAGGGGGGAAGGCCAAACGGGGGTCCTCGGGAGGGTGGGATCGTCGTTTCTTCCTCCAGCGTCGAGACGGATAGCTATACAGCTGCCCAGGAGCAATGCCTGATCCCCCAAAAAAGTGTTGATCATTAAAGTGTGCTTTTGGGAGAGTGAATGTGTGTGTGTCTTCGCTACAGACCTGCACTCCTGTGTCTCTTCTCCATCCAGATGTAGCAGTTGCTTTGAGCAACACCCGTCTGAGAGTCGATGAAAGGCATCAGGATGCTCCTCTCCGCACACAGACGGGCGTTATAGCTGTGGCACTGTTCCATAGCATCCTTATAGTACTGCTCCCCGAGCCTGAAACAAGAAAACACAATCACACTCATGCTAGACTAGAAATGATCATGGTGGTTAATCTAACCATTTCAAAACGAATAATCCTGTATAGTTGTACAGGACCACTCCGTTCTCTGTAATATTACAGGATAATACCTAGCTACAGTTTTACAACAATCAAACCATATGACTGTGTGTATCCCACAGAATCCGATTGACGATGTTCGAAAAGTTATGAGCAAATGCACGAAAACACTTGGCTGCTTTAGCGAACAATACAGAGACGGTAGGTAGACAATGCCGAACCGCAGTCAAGGTGCACTTGAATTGTTGGCAGGCTAGCTACGCTGGTCTCAGTGAACGATGGGCCTATTTATAAAGCTAGCTACATAGCTATTCGTTAACGTTAGGTGCAATTTAAATTCACACCATAATCTTTGTCGACCGTTTATACATGTACGTCTTGTACTGAAACAGTTTACAGTAAGTTAACAAAGGACAATCGTTTTCAACTGTAGCATTGTCTAATATAACTAGCTAAACTTGCTAGCTAGTTAGCAAAGAGAAACAATAGCTAGTTGGCTAGACAACGCTTTGCCGTAAAGACTAGACGGCAAACAGTCATTTTCTACATAGTTTCCAATACAGTGTCAACTCCTGCGTCGGGGCCTACATCTCTAAAAGTGTCACATGCTCCTACTCCTTTAAAAAATAAAGGACAACTTACACTTTCACAACACTATCTACGGCCGCCGCCATGTTTGCTCAGTGCGGTTGTCAAAATGTCCACTGCGCCTGCGCGTGTTGCTGGGTTCCAGTTTATCAAAACAAAGGTCCCTTTCTGAGCGTTCTCATGTAAACTTGAGCAAATTGCATTGGAAAAATCACCGGTTGGACAATGTCAGCTGAAAAATAAATACAACACAATAAGCAGATTGAGAAACAATTATTTATTGACAAGAAGAGTGTGAGAATCTGAATGCATGACTGATAATCATTGAAGTGCCCAACATCATGTCTCAGGAAAACGCCATTGTAAAATAAGGAGTGATTCAAAAGAATACCAAACACATACAGGACTGAGCAAGTTATCCAATGAAATTACCCTAAGCAGATAGCTACATTAATAGTCGTTGTAGAATAGATAATTTTGTAATATGAAGAGGATATGAGAGGTAGGGAGAGAAATCAATCTTCAGTCAGTCTTTAATTCAGGTTAGATCTTGACCACTTGGCTGGCTACACAGGGACTGACTCTCTTCCCATCTATCAATATGGAGCTCCTCTGGATGAGCAGCCTGCCGTAAGTCCTTCCCACCTGGCCTTTGGTCAGGCGTCCAGGTTTGACACATCCGCAGCCGATCACGTCCTGTGAAAAATACACGTTTTTTAAACGTCATTGTAAATGTGTGTGTCAGAGAGAGAGGGAGGAAGAGAGAGATAGAAAGAGGGAGAGAGAAAGATGGAGAGAGAGGGAAAGAGAGAGCGAGGCCGAGTGAGTTTCCACTGTGTGAACCAGCCATGTTGTTTTTCAGCCAATGAAAAAACAATGTAACACGTTATTGAGGTAGGGCATGCCCGTTTTTCTATGACAGAAGATGTCTCTTTTCCTGTATGATAATACATTATATTGTCTGAGTGACAGCAGGTGTCTCAGTTCTGAATGACATCATGTGGGTCACTTCACCTTTACGTCGTCCTTGCAGAGGTTCGGCAGGGTGAAAAGGTGTTGTGAGTAAATTAAGTGATGGTGGACATCTCTCTGGGAGGGAACAAATATCAACTGACATCCAACTCTGAGGAGGAAGCAGAACTATGTTTACAACAGCAAGGGAAGCGTTTCAGCTAATGTGGTCGGTATGTAGAGGGTAAAATGAGTGTGAGTGTGTGTGTGTGTGTGTGTGTGTGTGTGTAGTGGATAGGTAAATATAAAGTCATATTTACCCTTTGGTGCCTTCCACGATGCTTCCCACACATCTGGAGAAGATGGCATCAAATGTCTCGGTCACCAGAGATTTCTGTCAAAGAAAGAAAAAACAATCAACTTCTGATAGAAAATGCAAGTCAACATCCTAGATATGGAAAACTAACTCTAGAGTCAGTAACCAAGACAGAGAGAAGGAAAATGTACCTCTATCTGCTGATGTTTGGAGTCCACGAAGGGTCCCAGCTGTGGGTTAGAGAGGAGATGTGAGGAACAAACATTCAAACTTCAGTCAGAGAGCAAGTGTGTGTGTGCGTTACCTCATGAAAATAGGTAAATTCTACTGACCAGTATGCAGACATCGGGGCGGTCCCTGACGATGACGTTGATGAGGCCCACCAGGGTATCAAATGTCAGGCCGTCAGAGGGGGTGTAGGGGCCGCAGGCCACAATTACCATCAGCTGCTCTGGTGCTGTGATAGAGCAGGGACGTTAGGGTGTGTGTGTGTGTGGTGTATACTTATAGTTCCCTTCCTTCCCATCAGGAATGTCCATGTCCATTTCCTGTTTATGGAAGAGTAGATTGGAAGATGGGACTCCCATAGAGTCAACAGAGAACAAGAATGTGAACTACGGTCAGCTTGAGAACTCTAAGTCCTAACCGCAGAGATTCCAGTCCTACCGCAAGCTGAAATCCTCATGAAGTACTAGAGAATCTCCAACGTCAGAGAACTTCAGAATCCTACCGTCAGCCTGAGAATCTCCATGAAGTCCTACCGTCAGCTTGAGAATCTCCATGAAGTCCTACCGTCAGCTTGAGAATCTCAGTCTAAAGTGCTTTTAGTCCTGGAATAGGCTTGATCAGGATCCAGGAAATCGACCAAAGATGTTTTAGAGGAATCCCACTGACCAATAGTTTAGATGCTACCAACTTCCTCCCTGAGGTATTCATCCCCTCCATGGCGACCACCTGTCCAGGGAAGAGCGAGTACTCTCTGAGTTCAGACAGGTCTACTGTCACCTGCCGCCCACCCTGATCAGGCCCCGCCTCCAACAGCACTGATTGGGCGTTAAGCTTCCCATTACTGTCACTGCATACCTGTCCCAGTACAGTCACACTGTCCTACAGAGGCAGAGAGAGAGCAGGAGAGAGGTTAACACACACAGCAGTGAAAGTAACAGGGAGATGGAGGGAACATACTGTGTGAGAGTGACTGGGAGGCAGAGTGAGGTGCTTGTAAGTACCTGAGCAGGTAGCGACACAGGGGAGAACTCTTCTATGTTGAAGTTCGTCCTCAGTTCCTCTCCCAGCTCCTCAATCTTCTCTGTCAACACTGGCAAAGACAAAAGACAACATTCACGTCAGCACATAAAAAATGTAATGGAAAGTCCAACAACATTACTGATCTAACAGTCAAGATGAATGATGGATGAGGAATAAGGAAGTAGTTGTGTCATCACAATGTTAGTATAATCCAATAAAGATGTTTAAATAACTATCGTAGTTGTAGTTTTGTTGCCTACCGTTGCGGACATCCCTCAGCCTTTGGAACATGTACTTGTAGTTGTTAATCAGAGAGTCCTCTGATCCCTCCAGGAGCTCCAGCTGAACCCAGTTCTGCTGCCCTTTCCTCCCTGCCCAACGTGTGCCCTGGACGGCCCCGAACGTAGACACCACCTCCCCCCACGCTGAGAAGGGGTCGCGCTGCAGAGAGGAGACAACATTTGGGGATAAGGCAAGGGTGAGTGGGTGTGTATTCACAGATTATTGTAGCGTTGTATCCATGTATGTAGTTGTGTGTGGTGTACTTGGGGGAGAAGCTGGCTGGGGACAGCAGCAGGCCAGGGCTGGCTATGAGAGCTGCTCTCCTCTTACATTTACGTCATTTAGCAGACGCTCTTATCCAGAGCGACTTACTGGAGCAATTAGGGTTAAGTGCCTTGCTCAAGGGCACAGACAGGTTTTTCACCTAGCCGGCTCGGGGATTAGAACGAGCGACCTTTCGGTTACTGGCACAACACTCTTAACCACTAACCTACCTACACTTGGGGTGTTCTGGGGTGTTCGGTGCACGCTTCTGAGATGCCTAAAAACACACAGAGCAGAGATAATGCTTTGTACAGCACATACAATATCAACAAACAGACAACTCACCAAAAGGAGCATTTGCACAAAGACATACACTCACCGGCCAGTTTATTAGGTACACCACTGGAGGAAAAGGGGGAGGAGGAGGGTCCAACCCGGTACACGAGGAGTGTACCTAATAAACTGGCCGGTGAGTACATGTAAAATACCTTAGCTGGGTTGGAATAGGAGTCCAGAAGACTCTCCTCTTCTTCTTCAGCTTTGATTCTGGAAAGGCGAAGTTAAGGGACACCACCAGATAGAGTCCTGTATTGTTCTAACTGTTATACATACAGTGGGGAAAAAGTTTTTAGTCAGCCACCAATTGTGCAAGTTCTCCCACTTAAAAAGATGAGAGAGGCCTGTAATTTTCATCATAGGTACACGTCAACTATGACAGACAAATTGAGAGAAAAAAATAATCTCCCTCGATCTGGGGCTCCACGCAAGATCTCACCCCGTGGGGTCAAAATGATCACAAGAACGGTGAGCAAAAATCCCAGAACCACACGGGGGACCTAGTGAATGACCTGCAGAGAGCTGGGACCAAAGTAACAAAGCCTACCATCAGTAACACACTACGCCGCCAGGGACTCAAATCCTGCAGTGCCAGACGTGTCCCCCTGCTTAAGCCAGTACATGTCCAGGCCCGTCTGAAGTTTGCTAGAGTGCATTTGGATGATCCAGAAGAGGATTGGGAGAATGTCATATGGTCAGATGAAACCAAAATAGAACTTTTTGGTAAAAACTCAACTCGTCGTGTTTGGAGGACAAAGAATGCTGAGTTGCATCCAAAGAACACCATACCTACTGTGAAGCATGGGGGTGGAAACATCATGCTTTGGGGCTGTTTTTCTGCAAAGGGACCAGGACGACTGATCCGTGTAAAGGAAAGAATGAATGGGGCCATGTATCGTGAGACTTTGAGTGAAAACCTCCTTCCATCAGCAAGGGCATTGAAGATGAAACGTGGCTGGGTCTTTCAGCATGACAATGACCCCAAACACACCGCCCGGGGGGAATGAAGGAGTGGCTTCGTAAGAAGCATTTCAAGGTTCTGGAGTGGCCTAGCCAGTCTCCAGATCTCAACCCCATAGAAAATCTTTGGAGGGAGTTGAAAGTCCGTGTTTCCCAGCGACAGCCCCAAAACATCACTGCTCTAGAGGAGATCTGCATGGAGGACTGGGCCAAAATACCAGCAACAGTGTGTGAAAACCTTGTGAAGACTTACAGAAAACGTTTGACCTGTGTCATTGCCAACAAAGGGTATATAACAAAGTATTGAGAAACTTTTGTTATTGACCAAATACTTATTTTCCACCATAATTTGCAAATAAATTCATAACAAATCCTACAATGTGATTTTCTGGATATTTATTTCTCATTTTGTCTGTCATAGTTGACGTGTACCTATGATGAAAATTACAGGCCTCTCTCATCTTTTTAAGTGGGAGAACTTGCACAATTGGTGGCTGACTAAATACTTTTTCCCCCCACTGTACAAACACACATTGATAAATAGTTATTCAGAAATCCTAAGAGAAACATAACACTGAGATAGAGATTGTGTGTGTAAACTGTAGAGGATACAGGTCCTGCAGACAGTTGATCTCCATGGTCCAACTCATCCTTGACTGCTGGCTATGTCCCTTCCGTCTTCAAGAGAGCGAGAGTTGCACCCCTTCTCAAAAAAACCAACACTTGATCCCTCTGATGTCAACAACTACAGACCAGTATCCCTTCTTTCTTTTCTCATGTCTGGCAAACATATCAGTATGGATGACGGATCACCACCTCAAGCTGAACCTTGGCAAGACGGAGCTGCTCTTCCTCCCGGGGAAGGACTGCCCGTTCCATGATCTTGCCAACACAGTTGACAACTCTGTTGTGTCCTCCTCCCAGAGTGCGAAGAGCCTTGGCGTTACCCTGGACAACACCTTGTCGTTCTCCGCTAACATCAAGGTGGTGACCCGATCCTGTAGGTTCATGCTCTACAACATTCGGAGAGTACGACCCTGCCTTACACAGGAAGCGGCACAGGTCCTAATCCAGGCACTTGTCATCTCCCGTCTGGACTACTGCAACTCGCTGTTGGCTGGGCTCCCTGCCTGTGCCATTAAACCCCTACAACTCATCCAGAATGCCGCAGCCCGTCTGGTGTTCAACCTTCCCAAGTTCTCTCACATCACCCCGCTCCTCCGCACACTCCACTGGCTTCCAGTAGAAGCTCGTATCTGCTACAAGACCATGGTGCTTGCCTACGGAGCTGTGAGGGGAACGGCACCTCCGTACCTTCAGGCTCTGATCAGTCCCTACACCCAAACGAGGGCATTGCGTTCATCCACCTCTGGCCTGCTGGCTCCCCTACCTCTGCGGAAAGCACAGTTCCCGCTCAGCCCAGTCAAACTGGTTATCCCACTGGCTATAAGGTGAATGCACCAATTTGTAAGTCGCTCTGGATAAGAGCGTCTGCTTAATGATGTAAATGTAAATGTAAATGTAATGGTTCTGTTGTGTGATTCCTCTCGCGTTGCGAAGCCCGGTTTGGCCTTGTTTTTCTTGTTTAGAACCTGCAGCACACCAAGATCAGACATGCAACAACAAACACCAAGCCACAGAGAGAGGGGTCATGGGTCCTTCTTTCTCCCACCTCATGCTCCAGTGTGTTCAAACAGAGTTTCAATCCTCCCTTGGTGGTGCTGAAAGCCACACCCACTCCAGGACTATCTCACCCCCCTATCTCTGTGGCAGTGTTGCAAACACTGCTCCAACACTGGGAGAAGTAGAGAATTTGCAACAAATGTTACAAGAGTAAGCCAATATCACTGGCCATTTGGCTAACAAAACATTTGCAAAGCAAGTTTGTTAGCTAGCTAAATGGGACAAGAGTGAGGCCAGAAGAAAATATCACTTACTCTTGTCCAATATTATGTCGTCGTCTCCACAAGCAATGTCGAACATTTCCAGCTCCGATTTGATGCTGTCTGTATTTACTGATGCCATTGTTTTACAAATTAACTATGCTAATTAACGTGTGCAATATCTAATAAGAAACAACTACAAATAAACATATCTAGCTAGCAAGAGAGATCAGCCACCTGCTGCTAAGGTTGTGATAGTTTCTAAGCCTGCTAGCTAGCTATTTTGACAGCATTGATACCACTTCCGACATCATTAATATAATGATTCCCAAATATGCGAACAATCAACTAAAAGACGAATAGCTAACAATTATATGACGTACACCGATAACTTCATCAATAACAACAGCGGCTGGCAAACTACAATTACTTTTCCCGTACACTTCTGTTAAGTTGCGTCAATTCAAATCTGGTATTGGAACAAAAAGAGGTCAATACACGTCTTCTAAAATAGACTAGTATTTTAATTAATGCAAAACACTTCAATGGTAAATATGATGTTCGTATATACGGGTCCACTGAAAAACCACGCAGGGCAGTCAGAGAACTGGTCCATTGTTATAAGTTCTTCTTTAAATACTCTGACAGAGATAGTTCCCGCTCCCTGCTGGCCTATCAGAGTAGAGACTGAGCGTGGTTTAGACTTACTCAGCCTATCGTTGGCGCACAGGCTGGTCCCAGGCCCTTGGCGCTTCACTGTTGCCAGGTTTTTAGTTGTTTTGCAACTTGTCCAGAGAGTCAGCACCCATAGACATCTTTGTAGCAGAACACATGTCCTTGAGCGGTCTAACAAAGAGGCAGTGTTTGTGTCTGTGTGAGACACAAGCCTTATCTCAGCCTACCCCCTAATAGTTCCCCACATTAATTAAAGACCCATAGGGGAGGGAATGGCCGGCAGGGGATGTAGCTCAGTTGGTAGAGCATGGCGTTTGCAACGCCAGGGTTGTGGGTTCGATAAAATAATGTATGCGCTAACTGTAAGTCGCTCTGGATAAGAGCGTCTGCTAAATGACGTAAATGTAAATGTAAAATTAATCACAGCTTGTTATGTTAAACAGTCTATATCAGTACAGCACAAACCTATTATGTTTAATCATTAATGCTTTCTTATTAAGCTAACAGCACATCTAAAATATAAGATAATAATTTCCCACACTTCTCATCGATTTTATTTTGCCACGAAATTTCGTCGCATATCAAACCAGAGCCACAAAACCAAGAGAAGCTAGGGGTATTTGCCAAGCTGCACTGCCATCTCCTTCTTCTTTTGATAGTGGGGCTTAATGTTTTAATCCATCAAATAAATAAATAAATGGCAAAAACAATGTCTCGGTGTGTCTTCCTGTTTTAATTTAAATTAATATCATATAAACATACATATTTACATTGCACTTCATGTGGTCCTCTGTAGCTCAGCTGGTAGAGCACGCGCTTGTAACGCCAAGGTAGTGGGTTCGATCCCCGGGACCATCCATACACAAAAAATGTATGCACGCATGACTGTAAGTCGCTTTGGATAAAAGCGTCTGCTAAATGGTATATTATTTTTTATTATTATAAATATCACAACAAATACAATAAATTGACTGTTATGACACAAGAGAACGAAAATGTCAGCATGTTCAGATTTCATTCCCACTTGCATAGTTCTTGGAAGGTCTGCTGCCGGTGAGTGTGTCTGCCTAAGGAACACAGTGGTAAACATAGGACTAGTAAATCATATGCTCACATACCATTGCCACGGCTACAAGGGTATTTATAATACTGAACTCAACTCAGCTCCTGCACAATCTGGAACATTTCATAGAAGTAACATAGCCATAGTGTTAGGCTTGGCCACTTATCATGATAAAAACAACATCATATTATAAAATGTTTACAAGGCAACATTTATCAGTGGACTTCCACAGGTACTCTATCATAAGTAAAGATAATATTTTACATTTACATTTTAGCAGACGCTCTTATCCAGAGTGACTTACAGGAGCAATTAGGGTTAAGTGCCTTGCTCAAGGGCACATCGACAGATTTTTTACCTAGTCGGCTCGGGGATTAGAACCAGCGACCTTTCGGTTACTGGCACAACTAAGCTACCTGCCGCCATCACTGAAGTTCAGCTGAGGGTCTGGTGTCATTTAGGGCCCTGTGTTTTGTGCAATCATATGAAATGCCTGGATTTGAACCTTTATTTAAAGCTTTTTCATCAAACTGTCCACCTTCCTTTTTATGTCAGATGGTCCAAGACAATCCTCAGACCATTGCTTTAATTTTTGTTGTAATTCTATTTTTTTTTTTTTATAAGGACTAGTCTGACTTGAGCATGTTTTAATTGCATATTGAGCCATGGATACCTGTATAATCAGCCTGATTAGTAATAACTTGTATACCTGTATAATCAGCCTGATTAGTAATAACTTGTATACCTGTATAATCAACCTGATTAGTAATAACTTGTATACCTGTATAATCAGTTTGATTAGTAGTACTAACTTGTTATTGGTTAGGATGTTGGAGCGTGTGTTATTGCAGTGACAAGGGAAAGTCCAGAAAGTGTGTTTGTCCAGACGTGTTCATGCTTTTCTGTATATTAACATTTCGAAGGGAGTAGGTAAAGGGCCACAGTCGAGTCTCAGTTCCTGATAAGCTAGACTAGTCTCTGTGGAACTAGGGTCAGGAGAGATGTGGAACTCAACATGGAGGTCGAGGTGAGGACAAGAAACCTCCGGGATGTGGGCCAGAGGGGCCCAACCCAACAACACTCCAACTGAAGCCTTATCTCACACACACACACACACACACATCCCGGGCCCACTAAAGTTTTGGGTTAAGGCCGGGCCAAGACAATACCAGTAAGAGGAACAGACTTAGTTCCTGCCCAGCAACAGAGAATGACTGTTTATCTTAGACATACAAGGAGATGACTCCGCCTAGTTGGAAGGTATAAATACAGTGGTGTGAAAAAGTGTTTGCCCCCTTCCTGATTTCTTATTTGTTTGCATGTTTGTCACACTTAAATGTTTCAGATCAAACTAATTTAAATATTAGTCAAAGATAACACAAGTAAACACAAAATGCAGTTTTGAAATGAAGGTTGTTATTATTAAGGGAAAACAAAATCCAAACCCACATGGCCCTGTGTGAAAGAGTGATTGCCCCCTACAACCTAATAACTGGTTGGGCCACCCTTAGCAGCAACAACTGCTATCAAGCGTTTGCGATAACTTGCAATGAGTCTTTTACAGCGCTGTGGAGGAATTTTGGCCCACTATCCTTTGCAGAATTGTTGTAATTCAGGCACATTGGAGGGTTTTGAGCATTAACTGCCTTTTTAAGGTCATGCCACAGCATCTCAATAGGATTCAGGTCAGGACTTTGACTAGGCCACTCCAAAGACTTCATTTTGTTTTTCTTCAGCCATTCAGAGGTGGACTTGATGGTGTGTTTTGGATCATTGTCCTGCTGCAGAACCCAAGTTCGCTTCAGCTTGAGGTCACGAACAGATGGCCGGACATTCTCCTTCAGGATTTTTTGGTAGACAGCAGAATTCATGGTTCCATTTATCACAGCAAGTCTTCCAGGTCCTGAAGCAGCAAAACAGGCCCAGACCATCACCACATTTTACTGTTGGTATGATGTTATTTTTCTGAAATGCGGTGTTACTATTACGCCAGATGTAATGGGACACACACCTTCCAAAAAGTTCAACTTTTGTCTCGTCAGTCCACAGAGTAGGTCTTGGGGATCATCAAGATGTTTTCTGGCAAAAAATGAGACGAGCCTTAATGTTATTTTTGCTCAGCAGTGGTTTTCGTCTTGGAACTCTGCCACGCAGGCCATTTTTGCCCAGTCTCTTTCTTATGGTGGAGTCATGAACACTGACCTTAACTGAGGCAAGTGAGGCCTGCAGCTCTTTGGATGTTGTTGTAGGGGTCTTTTGTGACCTCTTGGATGAGTCGTCGCTGCACTCTTGGGGTAAGTTTGGTCGGCCGGCCACTCCTGGGAAGGTTCACCACTGTTCCATGTTTTCGCCATTTGTGGATAATGGCTCTCACTGTGGTTCGCTGGAGTCCCAAAGCTTTAGAAATGGCTTTATAACCTTTTCCAGACTGATGGATCTAAATTACTTTCTTTCTCATTTGTTCCTGAATTTCTTTGGATCTCGGCATGATGTCTAGCTTTTGAGGATCTTTTGTCTACTTCACTTTGTCAGGCAGGTCCTATTTAAGTGATTCCTTGTTTGAGAACAGGTGTGGCAGTAATCCAGGCCTGGGTGTGGCTAGAGGAATTGAACTCAGGTGTGATAAACCACAGTTGAGTTGTGTTATAACAGGGGGGGCAAACACTTTTTCACACAGGGCCATGTAGGTTTGGATTTTGTTTTCCCTTAATAATAACAACCTTCATTTCAAAACTGCATTTTGTGTTTACTTGTGTTATCTTTGACTAATATTTACATTTGTTTGATGATCTGAAACATTTAAGTGTGAAAAACATGCAAACAAATAACAAATCAGGAAGGGGGCAAACACTTTTTCACACCACTGTATGTGATTGTGTGACTTGTATGTTGTGTTATGTAGCGGCAGCATCCTGCAGGGTGTAATACATCTAGTTTGAGCTTACCCTTGGAGTCCGTCTAAATTTGTACCAGAACTTAGAATCTAACAAAATACAGGATAAAATCTTGCTATGTCACATGTTTGCGCAAAACACAGGGCCCTAGCAGAATACACTGAACTCCACTTGTGTCACACTCAACTCAACACCCAGGTTGATATCCCACTGACCTGTCCCCAGTAACACCTGCGACTAGGCACTACACAGCCAGCTGTGACTCTCTGTAGAGACTCATGGAGAGAGGCTGACAGCTCATAGGTGTCCTGCACCTAAAACACACACACACACAAACACACCACATGCATGTACGCACACACGATTCGTACACACAAATGCACACACACACACCCGCACACACACACGCAGTCACCAGTCACATACTGTTAAGAAAAGTAGTGAAATCAATCTAAATGTATTGTTCAGGCTCTGCCACAGTACAGTAATTGCAGGAGTTATGTAGCTACCATCATGCGGTCCAGACAGGCAGCTCTGAACTCCATGTTGGTGCTGCTGCTCACCACACAGCATATAGATCTCAGCATCACCCCCAGGGCAGAGCACATCTTCTCCTGAGCCTGACAGGCAGGCAGGCAGGCAGACAGATCGGCAGGCAGACAGATCGACAGGCAGACCGACACAGACAGAGCGACAGGCAAGCAGACAGATTGACAGGCAGGCAGACAGATCGACAGACAGTCATCCAAACGTACATAGTTGTGGGAAATATAATATACATCATGATTAGAAGAGGATCTCTGATAGTGAATTTTTGTTTGTATATAGAGCCAGAGTGCTTGCCTTTTGTGTCTGTGTGAGTGTGTGTGTGTGTGTGTGTGTGTGTAAGTGAGTGAGTGTGCCTGTGTGTGTAAGTGAGTGAGTGTGTATAGACTCCGAGTGCTTGCCTTGTCTCTCTGCTGCTGGTCTTTCAGTGTGCTCTGCAGCAGCGTGTTCAGGGCTGCTGTCACCGCCTCCCTGTTGTACCTCAAAACATCCTCGAGGTGGAGCTCTAACAGCTCCTCACTGGCTGCAGGGAGACATGAAACCTTGAGATGAGACCATGAGCTAAACAACTTCTTTGCTGAGTTTGGATACCATGTCATTGGATGTTTTCGATGTGACCTTTGATTGAACTACCAAATGGCTAATGTCAGAATCCATGATATGAAGAAGAAGAAAAAACATATGGTCAATGCGGTCGCTCAAAGGGTGTGGTAACTTCATAATTGTGGTCTTTGAGTAACCAAAAATATACATTTACATCATTTAGCAGACGCTCTTATCCAGAGCGACTTACAGTTAGTGAGTGCATACATTTTCATACTGGCCCCCCGTGGGAATCGAACCAACAACCCTGGCGTTGCAAACGCCATGCTCTACCAACTGAGCTACACGGGACTACAGCCTCCTCTTCTAATTCCAGTGGGTGTTACTCATGAAGTCTCAATTAATCACAATTTGATAAACAGGAGGTTGACTGTGGTCTGCTTCCTATCTCCTGAGCACAGTGAGCTGTAACTGCATGTTAAATATTTTTGTGTTGAAACTTTGAGTCAAGCCTGTGTAAGACACAGACTCATTTGATTGTTGAGTGAACCACATCTTCTTCAGTCAGGGTAACTAAAGCAGAGGTTTGTTGTTGAGTTATTTCCTCACCATGAAGTTCAGAGAGTGGCGAGTGGAAGGGGGTCACTGTGCTGGAGGAACGGAACAGAGAGAGGGTCTGTCACAGCGGGGATCAATTTCTGGCTCAGTTCCGTGAAACTGTGCTCTGTCTATACTGTACACAGTGTCACTGCAGAGGGATCTGTTGAGAGGTGGTAGCAGGTATGGTAAATAAGTGTTATGACTTTGTTGAATTATCAGAGGAGCGTCAGCACCACTAAATTGTTGTCAGCAAGCTCTGTATGAAATAAGTATTACTTGTACAGGCTCTGTTGACATATATAATGTCACAGGCTCGGTTGAACATAATAAGCTTGTCGCAAGTTGGTCTGACATATACAGTTGTCACAAGGCTCACTAATAAACTTTACAAGGCTTGGTTGAAATATAATTGCTTTCAGCAAGGCTCTGGAAATAATAGCTTGTCAGCAAGGCTCTGGTTTGAACATAATAATTAGCTTGTCAGCAAGGCTTGTTGAACATTGCATGTAGCTTGTCACAGGCTCTGGTCTGACATTCTGATAACAGGCCGTGTTCAGTGGATGGCATTTCAGAATGTAAACATTTCTAAATATTTAGGTCATATTTAGGTCTGATGATAATAATAGGCTACATGCAACAAACGCCTCTTTGCATAATCATGCCTACTCAATGCTAAATTGGTGAATGCAAACAATTGTCCAAATTCTGACTCAATCCCTCACTGCAAGGAGTGGTGTTTACCTGTGCATCAGGATACGTTTTATGTTGTATCTATGTTATAACATTATACTTAGATTGTATTTATTTATAATAAAACACTTTATCATCACTAGATAAACAAATCAAACGTGATATATGATTGAATATTTTGCTCATCCCAGTACCTGAGGTGGTGGAGTGTGTTGGGGTACAGGTCAGCCCCTCCAGGGCCAGACAGGCAGGCAGCTGCTGTAGGAAGGCTGAGGGCCCCAGCAGGGGAAGGTTACTGGGGCTGTACAGCAGCACGTACGACTGCGGTTAAAGACTGATGGTTCAGTAGGAAATAAGGGTCTACTGTCACTACTCAGACATCTTTCAAATGGCCTTATCTAAACAACTAGCCCCCAAGGCAAGGGGATATCAACACATAACACACAAGACATAACACAGGAATGAGAGTGAAGGGGTGTGTGTGTGTGACGTGATAGATAAAGGATATCTGTATGCGTGTGACTCTGGTTGCCAGGTTGGGGTATTGCAACACACATGGGGTGAGAACTGTGACTAGTAGGAGGTTCAACTCCCCATACAGGCCTCTCTCCATGGCCTCAGGCGGGATAAGTAGAGGCAACCCACCTCCTAATACAGGATGGCCTCGCTGGCACCACGGGCCTGCTCCCACTGACATGGGAGGCCTGCAGGACCAACACACACACACACACACACATACGCCACAGACACATAATTACAATATGATGTACTGTGAATGACAGAGGTCAACTGTCTCTCCAACCTATATGATGACAAGAGGCATCGGAGTAATGCTGACTGCATGATAGAAGAAGTAACGTCCATGATCACAGTCTGGTCCTTCAGGGCAAGTCTCTCTGCCTTTCCACTAAGAAAAAACAGAGTAAAACACATGAATAACATAATATTATTCCACAATACTCACACACATTAAACATATTCAGTGGCAGTAATAATAATAGAAGGAGAATATTACCTAAAGATTCGCTGGTATGTTTCTCCTTCCAATTCCAATTTGAGGTGAATTTTCACCCCTGCGTTGGTCAGGCTCAGTTTGTGCAAGAAGCCCTCTGTGTGTGACCGCACCTTACACCTGTCCAGGTTCACCTCACTGTTCTGGAGAATAAAAGACACAGAGTCACATCCACCACTCAGTGTCACACCTTTCCATTGAGAGAGGTGTTATTTCAGTTTGCCCACTGTGCTCTGTGTGGTGGCTGAAATTAAAATTGTGCAGTACACTATTTTGTGGAGATAATCTTTTGTCTATTGTCAACTGACTTACTGACCAATGGGGTGTACATGTGGCTGAGCCTGGTGGGTACTGTAGTTCACCCACCTGGAGGGAGAGAAGGAAGTGGAGAGGGCCGTAGATTTCGGTGAAAGCACACAGTTCCTCTGGGTCAGGGGCAGGGCAGGGGGAGGCAGAGGGGTCCAGTCTCTGCCAGAACTCTGAAAAAAATCCATTAGAGAGGAAGATAAACACAGGAACTCAGTTGGCAAACAGGCAGAAAGCCAAGACACATTAAAGGGCATGACTTGGCACATATACTAAAGAGCCTATGCACAAAGCTGCTGGCACAGTTGTGAGTTGATTGTGTGTGTGTGTGTGTGTGTGTGAGACCCCAAATCACCCAAAACAGGACCAATTTATCTCAACCTTCTGTGTAATATAAGTACTACCATGTGTCTAAACTATTCATACACTTTGTAGTTCAGAACCCACCTTGTTGGACTTCTTCCACTGGGACTCCTGAGCACCAGGGTCCTGCAGCTGCAACTGTACAAAGAAGACATTAGCTAGACCCACTGCTAGTCTAACCTTATGTTTTTTTAAATGATTTATAAACGCTTCTAGGTAATTCAGACCTGTCCATACCTGTGCAGTTGACCACCTGGCCGCTGGGTGGCTGGCCGGGCGTGGCCCACAACAGGACAAGTAGTCCCCCTCCATCTACGACTAAGGACCTTTTTAGCCGTTCCCTCCCCCGACGGGCCAGCAACATCAGTGACCGTAAAACCTAACACAAAACAAACGATTATTTGGGATAACTAAACTCAAAGACAAAGACACATTGTGGCAGCTGTAAAAAAAATAATAATCCCCTGTACTAACTTAGAGGTTGGTTGTGTGGTGCTAGCTAGCTAGCCGCAAGAAAGTAAAAACGGACTAGCTAGCTAACTAGACCAGAGATAACGGCTAATTTTGGTTTATCTTTATATTTCAACAAATTCACCTGTTGTATATTTTTCATCATCTTCATCGAGAGTTCCCTTCCCTAGCAGAGATGACACAGGTGTCGTCTAATGTGTGAAAGAGCTGCCGAGTTTCGTCAATGACTGTCAGAGAGGTAATGAGTTCAAAACATTTGCACCGCGCCTTTGATCCCTTCGGATTGAAATCTCGCGCCACAAATGGATGCGCGTTGGCTTGCTGCAGGTGCAAGGCAAATACGCACATCTTGCGTTCCCCCATGCCCTTATCTCATCCTTCAATATTTTCAAAATGACAAATCCCGAGTTTATTTAAAACAAGAACAGTTTAATTCAGTATATGACAAATTATGTTCAGTGGTGGTTTCATCCATTTAAAAAAATCAGCCCTATCATTTGTGTGGGTCATCAAGGGGTCAAGGGACAATAACATGCTTTAAATGGGTCTATGAAAGGCCCTGAGCTTACTCATTGACGACCATGGACACCTACATGACTCACTGCCAGACATTTGGGTAAAACTTGATTTACTACAGACCTGTGATTTGCTTTCATTATAGGCCATCTCTTGCAACTCTGGTCTGTCCATATGTAATGTGTAGTCTAATTACTGCTCTCCTCTCTTTTCCATCCTTAACTGCTTCTCTCCTTTTCTTCCTGCAGAATACCTCTGTGAGTGGCACCACTGCTCAGCTCTGCCTCGCGCCCTAGGAGTGACCACACACGACGAATGAAGGCCTACAAATTAATTCAGCGGACGCTGGTGAGGGGGATGCTGATCTTAGCATTAATTGTGTGTATTTGTATTTATTATGGATCCCCATTAGTTCCTGCCAAGGCAGCAGCTACTCTTCCTGGGGTTTATTATGGATCCCCATTAGTTCCTGCCAAGACAGCAGCTACTCTTCTTGGGGTTTATTATGGATCCCCATTAGTTCCTGCCAAGGCAGCAGCTACTCTTCCTGGGGTTTATTATGGATCCCCATCAGTTCTGCCAAGGCAGCAGCTACTCTTCCTGGGGTTTATTATGGATCCCCATTAGTTCTGCCAAGGCAGCAGCTACTCTTCCTGGGGTTTATTATGGATCCCCATTAGTTCCTGCCAAGGCAGCAGCTACTCTTCCTGGGGTTTATTATGGATCCCCATTAGTTCCTGGCAAGGCAGCAGCTACTCTTCCTGGGGTTTATTATGGATCCCCATTAGTTCTGCCAAGGCAGCAGCTACTCTCCCTGGGGTTTATTATGGATCCCCATATGTTTCTGCCAAGGCAGCAGCTACACTTCCTGGGGTCCAGCAAAATTAAGGCAGTTATACAATTTAAAAAACATTACAATACATTCACTACAGATTTCACAACACCATTAAGTGTGTGCCCTCAGGCCACTACTCTACTACCACGTACTGTATCTACAACACAAAATCAATGTGTACGTGTGTGTATAGTGCGTATGTTATCAGGTGTGTGTATGTGTGTGTCTGTGCCTGTGTGTCTCTACACAGTCCCCGCTGTTCCATAAGGTGTATTTTAATCTGTTTTTTAAATCTGATTTTACTGCTTGCATGAGTTACTTGATGTGGAATAGAGTTCCATTTAGTCATGGCTCTATGTAGTACTGTTCGCCTCCCATAGTCTGTTCTGGATTTGGGGACTGTGAAGAGACCTCTGGTGGCATGTGTTGTGGGGTATGCATGGAATTTGTTGATGATCACAAGTTTACTGGAGAACGGAGACCAAGTAGAGACTTTCGGACAAGGTGGATAATTGTATAATATGAGGCAGTTTATTCAGAGGTAAAGATATCTGTAAATAGCGTGCACGGACCCGTTCGTCAACCTCGTAGGGAGATATCTGAGAGCGAGCCCCTAAACATTGTGTGCTGACATTTTATACAATAAAATAAAGTAGGTTGATTCTAGTAGTTCTGATCTTCTGATTGGTCCTGATGAGTTGGTCGAGGTCACCTCCATTGCATTGGCTCTGAGTCGGGTTCTCTGTCTTCAGATGTTCAGCCTAAGAGAAGGGGGTTTTTGTGTGTGTGTGTGCTTAACAATGATGATGTGTGTGTGTGTGTGTGTGTGCGTGTGTGTATGTGTGTGTATGCCCTCAGAGCAATAACTCGTGAGTTGGGAGAACTGAGAGACCTATGGCGTGGGTGTTGTCCATAGCCACCTGCTGATAAGGCCGACAAGATAGAAGTCTTTGTGCATTGTATTAAATACAAAGGCCCAACACAAGATGGGTCATGCACAAGATTTTAGTCAGACCAAGCTATAACATTATATATTTACTACGACAGTTTCCGAGCTGTGAGCTAGTAGTTTAAACAGACAGCTCGGTGCATTCAACATGTCAATACCTCTCACAAATACAAGTAGTGATGAAGTCAATCTCTCCTCTACTTTGAGCCAGGAGAGATTGACATGCATATTATTAATGTTAGCGCTCTGTGCACATTTAAGGGCCAGCCGTGCTGCACTGTTCTGGGCCAATTGCAATTTTCCTAAGTCCCTCTTTGTGGCACCACACAACTGGACAGTAGTCCAGGTGCGACAAAACTAGGGCCTGTAGGACTTGCCTTGTTCATAGCATTGTTAAGAATTCAGAGCAGCGCTTTATTATGGACAGACCTCTCCTCATCTTAGCCACTATTGCATCAATGTGTTTTGACCATGACAGTTTACAATCCAGGGTTACTCCAAGCAGTTTAGTCTCCTCAACTTGCTCAATTTCCACATTATTCATTACAATATTTAGTTGAGGTTTAGGGTTTAGTGAATGATTTGTCCCAAATACAATGCTTTTAGTTTTTGAAATATTTAGGACTAACTTATTTCTTGCTACCCATTCTGAAACTGACTGCAGCTCTATGTTAAGTGTTGCAGTGATTTCACTTGCTGTGGTAGCTGACGTGTATAGTGTTGAGTAATCAGCATACAGTATCTCACAAAAGTGAGTACACCCCTCACATTTTTGTAAATATTTGAGTATATCTTTTCATGTGACAACACTGAAGAAATGACACTTTGCTACAATGTAAAGTAGTGAGTGTACAGCTTGTATAACAGTGTACATTTGCTGTCCCCTCAAAATAACACAACCCACAGCCATTCATGTCTAAACCGCTGGCAACAAAAGTGAGTACACTCCTAAGTGAAAATGTCCAAATTGGGCCCAAAGTGTCAATATTTTGTGTGGCCACCATCATTTTCCAGCACTGCCTTAACCCTCTTGGGCATGGAGTTCACCAGAGCTTCACAGGTTGCCACTGGAGTCCTCTTCCACTCCTCCATGACAACATCACGGAGCTGGTGGATGTTAGAGACCTTGCACTCCTCCACCTTCCGTTTGAGGATGCCCCACAGATGCTCAATAGGGTTTAGGTCTGGAGACATGCTTGGCCAGTCCATCACCTTTACCCTCAGCTTCTTTAGCAAGGCAGTGGTCGTCTAGGTGTGTTTGGGGTCGTTATCATGTTGGAACACTGCCCTGCAGCCCAGTCTCCGAAGGGCGGGGATCATGCTCTGCTTCAGTATGTCACAGTACATGTTGGCATTCATGGTTCCCTCAATGAACTGTAGCTCCCCAGTGCCGGCAGCACTCATGCAGCCCCAGACCATGACACTCCCACCACCATGCTTGACTGTAGGCAAGACACACTTGTCTTTGTACTCCTTACCTGGTTGCCGCCACACGCTTGACACCATCTGAACCAAATAAGTTTATCTTGGTCTCATCAGACCACAGGACATGGTTCCAGTAGTCCATGTCCTTAGTCTGCATGTCTTCAGCAAACTTTTTGCGGGCTTTCTTGTGCATCATCTTTAGAAGAGGCTTCCTTCTGGGACGACAGCCATGCAGACCAATTTGATGCAGTGTGCGGCGTATGGTCTGAGCACTGACAGGCTGAACCCCCACCCCTTCAACCTCTGCAGCAATGCTGGCAGCACTCATACGTCTATTTCCCAAAGACAACCTCTGGATATGACGCTGAGCACGTGCACTCAACTTCTTTGGTCGACCATGGCGAGGCCTGTTCTGAGAGGAACCTGTCCTGTTAAACCGCTGTATGGTCTTGGCCACCGTGCTGCAGCTCAGTTTCAGGGTCTTGGCAATCTTCTTATAGCCCAGGCCATCTTTATGTAGAGCAACAATTCTTTTTTTTCAGATCCTCAGAGAGTTCTTTGCCATTAGGTGCCATGTTGAACTTCCAGTGACCAGTATGAGGGAGTGTGAGAGCGATGACACCATATTTAACACACCTGCTCCCCATTCACACCTGAGACCTTGTAACACTAACGAGTCACATGACACCAGGGAGGGAAAATGGCAAATTGGGCCCAATTTGGACATTTTCACTTAGGGGTGTACTCACTTTTGTTGCCAGCGGTTTAGACATGAATGGCTGTGTGTTGAGTTATTTTGAGGGGACAGCAAATTTACACTGTTATACAAGCTGTACACTCACTACTTTACATTGTAGCAAAGTGTCATTTCTTCAGTGTTGTCACATGAAAAGATATACTCAAATATTTACAAAGATGTGAGGGGTGTACTCACTTTTGTGAGATACTGTACATAGACACACAGGCTTTACTCAGAGCCAGTGGCATGTCATTAGTAAAGATTGAAAAAAGTAAGGGGCCTAGACATTTACCCTGGGAATGCCTGACTCCTGGATTATGTTAGAGAGGCTTCCATTAAGAACACCCTCTGTGTTCTGTTAGACAGGTACTCTCGATCCACAATATACGTGGGGAAAAAAGTATTTAGTCAGCCACCAATTGTGCAAGT